GGCCTGGGCATTCACTGAGCAGGACAGGGCGATGTCAGCTTTTGTTCAGTCCTATCCGACTCTCCTTGACCCCGTTGCAGATTGTCTTGGCAGAGGCCCTGGAGTGTCTGGCTATTTCCTCCTCCAGCTCAGTTTACAGATGAGGAAACTGAGGCAAAGAGAGATGCTGTGGAGGTAGAAACACAAAATTTGGAAACAAACTCGATAAATGAGGGGAGGGAGGGAGGCATCCAGGGTGACCCAAGCTGATGAACCTGGAAGACTGGAAGAAGAGAGGAAAATTCGACAGAAATGAGGAAGTTTGGCAAAGGAGTCCCCCAGGGAAAACGCAGTTCCATCTGGGATTATTGGATATGTCTACAGGACATCCGGATCATGCAGTCCAGAAGGCAGCTGGTTGAAGCAGGGTGGACTGAGGCTAGATGAATGTATCTGAGTCATTTGCATAGAAACGATCGTTAAAATCAGCCAAGTGTTGAGGTCACTGAGAGAGGGTAGAGAGAGAAGAGGGTAGAGCACACAGCCAGCTAGCTAGTGTGATATGGAGGATGAGCCCACAGAAGAGGTGAAGAAGGTCAGATAAAGAGATGGGCTACCAGAACCCAAGAGAAGAGACAGCGGCTGCAGACGGTCCCCAAGATCCACACTAGAAAAGACAAGGACCTGGAGGCTAGAGATAGTCGGCATTCGAAGGGCCCAGTTTCACTCCAGTGATGAGGCTGGAAACCAAACCGGACAGGACTGAGGAGGGATCGGGGAGGAAGGGGAAGCTGAGACTCGGCAGCTTTTTTCTAGGAGTTTGGCTGAGACAAGGAGGCTAGGAAACCAAAGAAGGAGGGAACGGCAGGGTCTGGGGGAAGGTTTTCTTAGGATGGGGAAGTTGTGAGCCTGCGAGGGTGGCAGAGATGGTGGGGCTGTCCTTAGTTCTCAAAGAGGACCAAAATGACGTCACCATATTGGGGTCAAAGTACAGCGTGTCCGGCTCATCAGGCCAAGATGAGCTTGGAAGGCTCTACCACGGGCAGTAAGGAAGGGGCCAGTAGAAAGGAAAGGCTGAAGACTGGAGAGGGAGGCATGACCAAGGGGGCGTGATGGAGGCAGAGTGATGGAGACTATAGGGGGGCATGATGGAGAAAATGGGGGGCACAATGGAGGGGGAGTGATGGAGAATATGGGGGGCATGATGGACACTATGGGGGGGCATGATGGAAGGACATGATGGAGACTATGGGGAGGCATGATGGAGGAGGAATGGAGAATATGGGGGGGACATCGGACCAATGACACCTGGAGGGCTCTTGGCCTCAGCAAAGGAGGACCACTTCATACTAAGAGACTGGGAAAAAAAGGAGCGGGGGGGGTGGGGGGGCAGGGAGATGTTAAGGGGTCTCGAGCGGGGAAGGAGAAGGGAGAGCTCGTGCCCTGTCAGTGCGCTTGGTAATATAAAAGGTGAGGTCCTCCGCTAAGAGGGCTTGGGAAAGGACACTCCAGAGGCTTCAGGAGGGGAACAAAGGTTTGGAATAGCTTCTCAGGATCATACATGAGGGAGCTGGGATTTAACTCAGGTCCTCTGACTCCCAGCACAGGTCTTAGTACTCAATAAATGCTTGTGGAGTCGCATTGCATCCGTGCCTTTGGCCCAACACCTCGGTTTCCATCCCCAGGACCTGGCATTGTCCCTCTCCATTCTCAGGATTCAAAGGCACTTCTCCCCTGACAGAGGACGGTGACCCTCATTCTTCCCCAAAAAAGATAGCCCTCTAAACCAAGGGTCCCTGTCCCCTGCTAGAAGAGAAGCTGCCTTGGGAGATGGGAGAGTGAGCTTCCCCTTCTGGGAGAGCTTTAAAAACAGAGACTGGACCTTCCCTGGTCAAAGGTGTCGTCAAAGAGACTTCTGTTCCGTGGTTCCTGAGGTCTCTGCCAGCTGAGGCATCTGGGGTTCTTCTCCCCACCCTCACAGAGATTCTACAGACTGGCTGGGGCTTTTTCCAGCAGCCAAATTCACCACAATGCCTGGCATCTCTGGAATGCTTTAGGCATTCTGTTCCTTAGAGGGGCCCTTCTGAAACGCACTACCTATGGAGCCTGAGCGGGCTCTGAGGGGTCTTTATTCTAGGTCAGCTCCTAGGACTCCCCGGGCAATGGGACTCAGTGAGTCATACAAAGCTCCATTAGTTTGCTTGCTCGTGAAGGAAATCTCGTCATAGTTGACTGCCCATGGTTACCCGATCTCTTCTCATATCCCCGTATCATGCTGCAGGACATTCAGCCTCTGTCCAGCCAGGAGCGAGAGGCCTTTTTATTCTGTCAGCCGCCATCGGTGGGCACTGGGCATGCTGTGAGAGCGCTAGGATTACAGCCTGCCCCTTATCTGATAGGAAGTCACCACCTGCTCTGACGTACATGCCCACCTTAACCATAGTAGGTACCTGATTATGCTTATTAGGGCAAATAACCCTATACTGTTTGCCTGTCAAGGTTTCTAGGAGAAAATACTTGGTCAAAATTAGGAGTCCATGTAGAAATGGTTATTACTGTTACGGGAATGCTGTTATTATTGACTGTACATAAGACCAGATGTTTAAGGATGAGTACACAGCTTTCAGAGTTCACAAAAGCACAGAACGGGAAAGTCAGAAGGAACTGTTGTGGCCATATACAGTGGTCCGACCACCACTGGAACCCACCAGATGTCTGGCCATATACAGTGCGTCCAACCACCGCTGGAACCCACCAGATGTGCCCATATACAGTGGGTCCAACCACCACTGGAACCCACCAGATGTTTGGCCATATACAGTCGATTCAGTCACCACTGGAACCCACCAGATGTGGCCATATACAGTGGGTCCAACCACCACTGGATCCCATCAGATGTCTGGCCATATACAGTGGTCCAACCACCGCTGGAACCCACCAGATGTCTGGCCATATACAGTGCATCCAACCACCGCTGGAACCCACCAGATGTGCCCATATACAGTGGTCCAACCACCACTGGATCCCACCAGATGTTTGGCCATATACAGTCGATTCAGTCACCACTGGAACCCACCAGATGTTTGGCCATATACAGCCGGTTTAACCGCCACCAGAACCCATCAGACAGGTGATCCTTCGGCCTCTGCTGGACAAGCCCACTACCTCTTAAGGCAGCCCATTACCCTTTGGGATGGTTCTCCCTGTTAAGGAGTTTAGGGTGGGTTCCCCTTGCACACATTAATGGCCCAAAAGGAAAGGAGATACCAGGTGAAAGGAGTTTGTGAAGACCCATCATGGCACCAGGAAATTCACTCATCACCTTTAGGAAGGCAGCTAAAAAGCAAAGCCCTTCCTAATGTAGCTGCTCTTTTAAATCATGGTCATTGCTAGCGAAAGCCTAGAACTGAGATCCTGGAATGCCAGAGCTGGGGGGTGGGGTGCTGGGGGGGTGGGGAGGATAGAAGAGTTGGAGACATTTTCATTTGTACCTCCATAGCCTAGGACAGTGATGGCACCTAGTAGGTCTGTAAAACACTTGTGGAATGTTTGAACTCTCTGAAATACATGATTAAGGCCTCATTTAGAGACTCCCCATTCATAGGACAGACTACAGATTCTGAGCTGAAAGGGACCTTAGAAGCATCTGATCCAACATTCTCACCTTGCAGATGAGGAACTGAGGGTGACTTCCCCAAGGCCACACAGGCCCAGTTGGGAAGGCTAGGATTTGAGGCCAGTCCAAGCCACATTACTCCCTGTGTGCTGCTAGTAGATACTCTACGAGAATATTCCCTTGACTGTGGGGAGGGGACTCAGGGAAGGGCAGGCTTTTCAGGAACTGCTACCCTCTCCAGGCACATACCTCCTCCACTCTATGCAAATAATTCTTGGCAAGCCTGAAGGCAAACTAGTACCAGTATATACCCACGGGTGGAGCTTCCCTGGCATTCCCCAGACCCCCAGCCACATACACACACGCCCAGCAAAGTGCACTTTGGATAAATGTGATTTTCTTCTAGATTTCCAGGTTCATAGGTTACCCCCACTGATGATGCCCCCCAAAGATGGGCCTGGCCAGGCCTGAGCTGAGCCCCACTTCAAGCAAGCAGGCCCCCTTGAATAAAAATGACCCTAAATGTGCACTCCAGATGAGTCAGAACGGAGGGAGCTCAGCCAGGATCCCTGACGGGTCCAACTAATGTCCTCGGGGCGCCCTGACCTTTAGAGTGAGCATCACCCCAAGAAACAACCAGGTTCACACTTCCAGGGACGTTTGGGTTGGAAGCGGGGGAGGGGAATGCGTTCATGGGTTGGTGAAATGAGCAACATGAGAAAAAATTCACTGACAAAACCCAAGTAGCTCTATAGAAGGGGTGCATAGCTTTAGTCCGTCTCACTTTTCAGGAAGAAACCGAGGTCCATAGATGAAGTGACTTACCCAGGGCAAAACAGAAAATTGTGGGGTCAGGACTTGAACCCAGGCCCTCTGACTACAGAAACAGTGCTGTGTGGGGTAGCGGCAGGCCCGTGCCAGTCAGGAAGGATTCTAGGCCTTCCACTTACCAGCTGACTGCCCAGACACAAACTGTCTGGATCTATGCTGTACCATCCTAGGTACTTCCCTGAGAAATGATCATGATTCTCACCACTAGAATGAGCAACAGCATTTCTCGGTTTTAATCTGTGTCCCTTCTGTGGTTCTGCTGGGGAGCTCACTAGCCTAAGACAACCCAGCCCATTTCTGACGCCCGTGGTCTGCAGCCAACATGGTCAAGCCTGCACCAAGGCCTGAATCGCTGCTTAATTATCAGCAGAATCACCTCAGACCCCACCTTGCCCAACCTCACAATTTTACGGATGAGTTAGAGATGGAGAGACTGACCCCAGGTCACCCCGGCTGGTTGGGGTGCCCACTCTTGAGACCCCTGTTACTTCAGGTCATCCAAGATGACCATCTGCCACCTCCCTCCGCCCCAGAAAGTGACCGAGGGACCCAGCAGAGAACAAGGCTCAGAAGGCATCATTCAATGACTATTTATTTTCATAGACATGAGGTATTTCAAAGTGCTCAAAGATGCAGCACTAAATAGACATTTCCAAGACAAGTGAAACACAGACCTTTGCCTTTCCCCAGTTCTATGCCCCAAACATTAACAAGGACGCCAACAGCAAGAAACAGGGCGGGGGGGGGGGAAGGCTGAGAAGTCAGTTTTTTTACAAAAGCTTCTTAGTTCCAAAAAGTGATAAAGTAATATCTACTCAAAACTTCACAACTCATTTTCATACGAAAATATAAGTATCAAATGTAGTCATGTCTCCGCGCCATACTAAAGTATACAGACAGTGTAAGAATTAGTCCAGTATATAACAGAGATTAACAAGGTATCTGTATACAAAACATGCTCCTCAAACATTGAGGCGTCACAGGACTTAGGTAGGAATCTCCACTCTCCAAACGGCGGCCAGGCGGCCGCCTCTCATTACCCAAGACATGGACAAAGGCAAGTGTGAAATCACTATTTACAGAGATGTAGCGAGCTCCCCCAGGAGCAAAGAAGAGCAAACAGGTGGGACATCCAGTCCAGCGCTGGGTCGGAACGTGGAAGCACCATTGAGGAAAGGGCTGACTCACTGGTCTGTGTCTGGAGGCTCCAGACCCGCCGTGGAAGGGCCGCTGTGGCAGGCTGGCGGAGGGGACCCGGCTCCAGTGCCCCCAGAGCAGCGCGCCCATCTCCATCCCTCCGGCCGGCTCCCAAGGCCCCGTGAGGCGTCCCCACCCACATCAAGTCGCTGGAGAGAGAACCGTATTGAAAGTAAACCAACATTCTTAACGTCAAAACACCTTTTTTTCTTGAACAATTAAAAAAAAATGTGCAAAGTGGCAGTGGCTGTCCGAGGCCGGGAACAGAAGACAAGCGAGGCGTCGGCTCAGCAAGTCCGCACGTGCTCCACCTTCTTGAGCAGCTGCTCCTGCTTGGCTATCAGCTTCTTCTTCTCCAGCTGCAGCTGGCGCTCCTCGGCCTGCAGGGAGTGCACATACTCGGTGGCCTTCTTCAAGATGACCACCTTGGCCGCCTTGTCGTTCTTCACCAGCTCCGGCACGTGGTCCCTGAGGGTGATGAAGCTGGACCTCAGGTCGTTACGCCGCTGGCGCTCCAGGATGTTGTGATTGCGGCGGCGTTCGCTGTCCTCCGAGTCCGAGTTCCGCGGGCTCACGCTCTTGGCCTTGGGCGGCACCGGGATGCTCTTGGCAGGGCGGGGCGGAGCCTCAGCCTTCATCTTCTTGGGGGGAGGCGAGTCCTCGCTCTCCGCATAGGGGGAGGGTGCGGCGTAGTTGTGCTGCTGATGGATGGGCGCACAACGCTTGAGGATCAGCTCCCCCGGCTGGGCCCTGATGGTGGCGGCGGAGGCGGCGTTCTTGGGCCGAACGGTGATGGTGAACGTGGTGACCGCCTTGGGGTTGTTGGAGGACGACGCTCGACGCTTCTCCACTGTTACCACATCAATCTCCTCCTCCTCCTCCTCTTCCTCTTCCTCCTCTTCATCATCTTTTAGAAACAAAGTCAGAGAATTACAATCTGTGCCTTGTTGGGTGAGCAGTTACAAATGCCCTTCAATGAAGGCTGGAAGGAGGTGTAACCCAAGAGGGGAAAGGGGACAAGCGGAGAAAGGACGTTCACACACCCTTGAGGACCTGGGGAGCAGGGGAGAAGGGGATCCATCACCCCCCCCCAAGTGTCAAAGGTGCCAAAGGAACCACACAAAGACAAACCCAAGGTTCCAGGTTCGCAAACGCGGCTGGAATAGAGGCAGTGTGGCACAGTGGCCAGAGCACTAACTTCCAGTCAGGAAACAGGGGAGTGAACCCAAGCTTGGCCAACGACTAGCCCGGCAACTTGGAGAAAGCCTCCTCTTTGTACCTAATTGCTCCTCCAGAAAACACCATCCAGACCTGTACCAGGGTCCCAGGGAAACAGGTACCTCTGCGAAACTACATTATTTACCAGAAAATCTGCAAGTGAATATGTATCAGTGGGTAAAAGATGAGTTCTGGGGACAGATCTGGCTCTTGAATTGGGGAATACTAGAATTCCAGAAGAATCCAGAAAACCTTAGGTGCCTCCTAGGGCATCAGAGAGAGATGTGTGCTAGGCGGGTATGTTTTGTCCCTCTCTGACGTCCTTAGAGCTTTACAAGGCCAGGAAATGGACTGCAGGTAAGACAGACTGGGCACTTAGCTCAGCTCATTGGGGCTCAATAAAGGCTTGCTCATTTCAATGTCGTCTGACACGCATCTAACAGCCTCCTACTACACGCACCAGGCACAAGGCAGGGTCCTGGAGACCCAAGCCAAAACCCGCCAACAGTCGCTGCGAGTGGAGTACAGTTACACACACACACGAGAAGCCCCATAAAGATCATATACACATCCGACTGGAAGAGACGGACGGACCCAGCAGGGTGGACCTGGGAAACGGCTGCGGCCCAAGGGAGCGATTCGCAGCAGGACCAAGAAAAGCTTTGGCAGGGGCTGAGTGAAGACACGGGGGCAAGAATGGCAGGGCCATTAACAGGGAGGGGTTGGGGGGGTGGTTCTGCACTGGTGGAAAGGAAATTCTCTAACACTCAACATCTCCACCCCCAATAAGATCACTCCTTGTGAAATAGAAGATGCTCATCTGGACCCTACAGACACAGACAGAGACACACACACACACCCCATGGAAATCCTGCCCCGGCGTTGGCACCGGGGATCTGAACAATTGGGGGATTTGTTCTGAAGCTAGCACGATGCTGTCCCAGTCTGCAGGTCCCCTTAAGGCCTAGCTCTTGGGCGCCTGCCAAGAAGACAGCTGTTGGGAGGAAATGCTTCCCTCACCCAAGGCTGTCAAGGCAGGGACGTTAAAGGGACAGGGAGCCTTTTTTGAAAATTGAAGGCTGATCCAAGGTTTCCAAGGCTCGGACAGGACTATACCCGCCAAACAGGCACTTTTGTCACTAGCACAGGACACCTGATTTGTCCCCAGCCCAAGGCACGGGGATGTGACTTTTCAACAGAAGGGAAGCTGGGCTCCCTCCCTCTCCTGCCATCACCTTCTGGGCAGTCCCCGCCCCAGCCTAGCAGGTTTAGAAGGACCCACTAAGTCACCCCCCCAGGACCTGATGCCTGAGCACCTCAGCCCGGTGACTGGGACTCAGCTTGAGGCAGTTGTGGGAAGGGCTACCCGGGAATGTCTCCGTGCTCCCTGGAGCACCCAACCACATTCAATGTACTGTGCCGTACGGAGGATGCGAACCTCCCTACACAGTCTTCCTGAGGGCAGGGACTGGGCTCTGGTCTTATCCCACCACACAGCACTCAGAGCTGTAATCAGAAAGCCATCTATAGCGGCCAACCCTCCTTTTACAGAGGAGCAAACTGAAGGCCCTCCAAGTTAAGTGAGTGACGTGTATACGGTCACCGGTCTGGAGCCCAGGGCCTGACACCCCCCCTCCACCACCACAGATGCTTAATAAATACCAGCTGGAGGGATGAATGTGACCAGCTCCTTCGAGGACAAGGACAATTCTGACCCTGATCCCCAGGACTTAAGCACAGTGCTTGGCACAAAGCACCCACTTCAACAATGCTTATTGGCCCCGGGGCAGGTTGGGCAGGGGCCTTCCTCTTAGGGACTGGACACTGGAAAGCAATGCCCTAAGTACTTAGCGGCTTAATAAATGCTGACTGAGTACTTGGCCAAGGTCACCCAGGTAGGAAGGGACAGGGCTGGGTCTCTGGCTCCAAATGCACACACAGAGAAGGGTTCTTAGGAGCTCAGACTGGTTATACTTTCCCAAGGGTGGGAGTGGGCACAGGAGCTGAATTAGGATCAAAGGGGCCTTGGAGGGGGTGGGCGTCACACTGCCACCTGCTGGCACCCCCTGAACGGCAGGCCAGCCCCAGGCGCTGGTTGGCCAGGCAAAGGTCATAGGAAGCAGCCCCAAAGCCAGTCCCAAACAGGATCTGCCCCTTTCCTCCAGGGCTCTTTTCCAGGACAGGGTGTATGTGAGTGTGGAGGGAGGGGGGAATTTTGCTCTGGTCAGTCCCCATTCCACCCCATCTCCCCAACCCCTCTCTCCCCTCTGGGGAGGCTAGGGATTTCTCCTAATGGATCCCCCTTCCTGCTACGGCCTCAGGCTGCACGGTACCACTGGCCCCCTCTCCCAGCTCCCCCCCCAACCAGGGAATCTGTAAAACCACCACTTTTCCCTATTTCGTGATCTGGGCGGGGCTTTCAAAGAGACCAGGAGTGGCCGGGAGAGAGAGACCTCTAAGGACAGACCTTTAATTGTAAATAGAAGGCAGCCAAAGAGGTTCCCCAGATCATCCCTACTCCCCCCACCACCACCTCTTTCAGGGGACCCCCCCCAAAGTGTTCCTAGGTACTTTATAAAGGGCAGCTGCAGCTGGCCGCCCAACCAGTCCCTGCCCCAACAGAGAGGAAGATGACGAGGCCCAATTCTTCGGACCAGCCAGCAGAAAGAGGGGGCCCTCTGGGGGAGGAGGGGGGGCCGATGGAAGGAGGGATCGTCTTACCTGAGTCGCTCAGGGTGTCATCCCCAGAACAGCTGTTAGCCCTGGTATCTCCCGCCGGGAAGGGGTGCCCGGGGCCGCGGGGGGGCTGGCCGGCCCCTCCCAGGGGCTCCCCAGACGTGCTGGCGGCTCTAGCTGCAGTGGCCGGGGACTCACGTTTGTTCACTGGGAAGGGGAAGACCACAGCCGGGTCCACGCACTCGGAGGCTGGGTTGCATAGGTCGGCTGCGCCGGGGGCTGGGAGCTCAACGGCTGCAGCTACGGTACACCTGGAGGGCGGCGCGGAGGAGGCGGCAGCAGAGGCGGTGGCGACCGCGTTGGCTTTGGCCGGGCCGTCGGCCGGCGCCCCCCGCGGGCCGGCCTGCAGCTTCTCGGTGACCGCCCGCTCAAGCTTCTCCCGCGCCGAGAAGCCGCTCCACATGCAGTCCGAAGCACGAAGGCGCTGAGATTGCCCTCGCCCCAGGCAGCGTGGGCCGGTCCCCCGGTCCCCCACGGCTCCACCTCGGGCGGCGGCAGCAGCAGCAGCTCGGAAGCCCAGTCGGGGGGCTCGCCGCCCCCGGGCCAGGCGGCCGCCGGACTAGGCAGCCCTCCGGGGCCGACGCCGGGCCCGGCCCGGCTCGGGGAGAGTGGCGGCGTGGGCAGCAGCTCGAACTTCTTCCAGATGTCCTCCCCCGGGGGCGCGGCGTCCGGGCCGCCCACGTAGAAGTCATCCTCGTCGGGGTAGAAGCAGGGCTGCAGCGAGTCGAACTCCAGGTCCGGGTTCTTGGGGGCCGCGGCGCCCACGGGCATGATGGGAGGGGGCGTGGGGGTCGCCGCCGCTCCTCGGGATGCGCTCCGCCGCCTCCTGGGGCTCTGCTTGTCTTCGGGGTGCCAGGGAGCCAGAGGGAAGATGGAAGGAGAGAGGCGCCGATCAGCCCTGGGCAAGGGACAGAGAGACAGACACGGGAGGGAGAGAGGGAGAAAGGAAGGGGGAAGGGAAGGGGGGGGAGGTTTGGCAAAAGGCAGCTGGCCAGGGAGGCAGGCGGGCAGCCCTCCTCCCTCGGGGGGCGAGCAGGGGGAGAGGCCAGCTGCCCAGGCAGCCAGCCGGCCGCTCGGCCGCCCGAACCCTGCCCAGCTTCCCTCCCGAGGGTGGAGAAGTTTCTCTCCTCTCCTCTCCCTCCCACCCCCTTCCCTTTTGTGTACCAGGCGCCTACACCACTGGGGGAGGAGAGGGAGGGGAGGGGGAGGAGGATGCAGAGGAGGGTCGTCCAGCCCCTACAAGAGGGGAGGGCGGGGGGCTCTGGGAAAAAAACCCAACAACGACAACAAACCAGGAGTCTCCCTTACACGCTCACACACATAGGCAGAGGCAGACGCGCGCGCGCGCGCGCGCACACACACGCACACGCACACACTTTCTACCCAAGGGGGCTCGCTCGAGGGGTCCCCCCCTCTCTGGCTCAAAATGCAGTAGAGAAGGGATGCAGGGCCATCGGGTCACTTCGCAAGGCCGGCGGCCTCCGAGAGCCTGACAGCGGACGCGCCGTTTGCTCCTCCCAGCTCAGATATTCCGTGCGCTGGGGCGCTAACGGCCCCTCCAGCATTCGGTGTTCTACAGGGTCCCTCCTAGCTTACATTCTCTGCTCGGCGTTCTAAGATCCCCCGCCCGCCCGGCTCTGGCATCCCAGGTTCCATGTTACAAGGTCCCTCGCAGCTCGGACATTCTCGGTTCTACGTTCTAAGACCCCTCCCAGCTTTGACATTCTCAGGTCTCGAAGGTCCCTCCCCGCTCTCGGTTCTCTGTTCTGGGTTCTAAGGTTCTCCCTCCCAGCTATGAGAGTCAGCTAGAAGATTTCGCGGGAGAGTCTGTTGGAAGGTCATTTCCAGTTCTGATACTCGTTCTAGGGCACCTGGCCACTTATTTGCTGCACCCCCAAAACCCCCGAAGTGAGCACGCCCTAGCCTTCCGCCTGACCCACCTTGCAGCCCCCCAGGCCCGGAGCTCTGGTGCAGCAGAACACCGCCAGGGACTCTCTCCCCCTCAACCTGGCCCTGAGCTGCCTCCCGCCTCCCGATTAGGAAGAAGCCGCCCCCAACCAGTAAACCAGCCCGCGAGCCCAGGAAGCCCCTCGCCCGGAGCTGGAGCCAATATGCGGCACTCGGCGGGCCGCACCCTGTGCCCCCTGCACTCCCCCTTCCTGCCCGGTGCAGCAGACCCATCTCTGGCGCTAGCCTCCAGTGCAAAGCGCTGCACGCAGGGCAGCAATCGTTCGGGCAAGGCGTTCCGAGACAATCCGGCCGAGAACGTCTGGACCGGCCGTCGGCTGGAGCCCCGGGCGGCCACCCTCGGGAACGGAGAGATCGGCCCGAGCTCCAGGGAAGGGGAGGGAAGCTCAGGCAGGGGGCAGACAAGGCTACTGGGGGGTTGTTTTTGTCCAAAAGGAGAAGAAGACACCCGAGGCAGCTCCCCGGCTGCGTTCCGTGCGCCCCGCTTCTCCCTAGGTCTGAGTGAGCAGAAGCAGCAGCGCCCCAGCCTCGGCTGCAGAACTCAGCCGGGCAGGGCAGTGCGGTGCGGTGCGGTGCGGTGCGGTGCGGTGCAGTGCAGTGGAGTGCGGTGCAGTGCGGTGCGGTGCGATGCGGGCGCTGCCCGCTGGTTCACCTTACCTCTAGCCGGCGGCAGCGGCGGCGGCGGCGGCGGCGGCGGCGGCAGCAGAAGCAGAAGCAGCAGCGGCGGCGGCGGCGGGAGCAGGGACTGGCCACACGCGCGGGGCTGGGCTGGGCTGGGCTGGGCTGGGCTGGGCTGCGCTCGGCCGCGCTCGGCCGCTCCGCGCCCCTGGGCTGGGTGGCTGGGGTCCGGGGCCGCTCTCGCGCCGAAGCCCTCCTCTCCAGCCGCAGCCGCAGCCTCGGTGCCCCGGGGCTCCTCTGGGGACAGCCGCCCCTCGCACCGGCCGCTCCACCCGCCGCTGCCGCCTGTCACTGACTGCGTCGCTTTGCAGCGCCCGGGATATTATTAACCCCCAAATTCTGACACACCCGGAGGGGGGAGGGTGCCTAGAGGGAGCCGGGAGGTGGGGGCGGGGGCGGCGGGGGGGGGCGGCTGGGAAGTGGAGCAGGGGGCGGGGGGCGGCCCAAGCCCCACCCTCCCGATTTCCATAAAAGTCAGGGGAGGTGCCAGGAGGCTTTCGCGCCAAAAGCCCCCGGGCCTTTCTTCTGCTGCTGGGGCCAGAGGCCGCCTTGCAGAGTCGGGGTCTCGGAATGCCCTTCCCGCCCGATCCTGCAAGGGGGAGACGCTAGGCAATGGCCTCAGCCACGCGGGGGGAGTTTTGCATGGGCCAGTCGGTGCAAAACAGACAGCGACTATACCCGGGGGAGGGGCCGTGCATGGGCTGAGGAGTGGGCTTCAGGGTTCAGGGCAGCGCGGCTACAGCAATCTCCAGCCCCTGAGCTTCGGCGGCGGGGAACTGGGAGAGAGCCCCCGACCCGGCCTGGGGGGAGGGGGCTGCAGGGCTGCTTCGCAGAGGACCGTGCATGGGGGGGGCACACGGGTGCCGCATTCTCCACCTTCCTAGCTCACGACGGGGGAGGGGGGTCGGAGGGCGGTCTTAGAGAACTGAGAACTGCAGGGGAGCTGAGCCGCTGGCCGGGCGGGAGGGGGAGCTGGGACTGCCCCCAACTACTGCGATCATAGGTGGGGAGGCCGGGCCCGCAGGAGCGGAGAGGGGGGCTGGGGTGAATCAATCAATCACTGCGGGGCAATGAGGGGGCCTTGGTCCCGGGGCTTTCCTCGGTGCAAGGCGACCCCTGGCGGGGATGCGGGGGCTGCTGCTGCAGAAGGAGTGGCTCAGACCCGAATTGTTTCTCTTTCCCTCCTTCCCCGCCCTCTTCGCCCCCCCTCCCCCTCGCACGCCCCATCCCTCCTGGGCGGCCCCCGATGCCCTCCGGGCCCAGAAGGCTGGGCCCGACGCGCCCCACGCAGCCCCCTTCCCCTCCGCTGTTAGCATCTGCCCGACACTCCTGCCCCTCCTTCCCGATGGCCTGACCGCTGGAAGCAGCGCCGGGGTCTGGGGAGGGGGGAGGGGGACCTTCTCCATATGCCCCTCTAAAAAGGGATGCCTCCAGTGCCCAAGCTGCGTTCCCCTCAGCCGCGGAGCCCTCGCTCCCCACCCCCTCCTCTCTGTTTATTTACCCTGCAAGGCAGGAGGGGAGCTGCCCCAGCTCGGGGCCTCCCCATTCATCTTCTTCTATTTTTTCAAAGAATGAGTAATGGAGCCTTGCCCCGAGTGGGCCACCGCGCCCCTCCTTTCCTGCCCCCTTCTTCCCCCACCCACGTAGGACCACTTCATCTTCCACTCGCGTTCATCGGGGGTGGCCCTGTTGACCCACAAGAGGGAAGGGGCTCGGCGGTCAACCGAGGCTGCTGCTGCAGACTTTGCCTGGAGTGTCGCTGGCAGGGGAGCCGGGTCGTCAAGCCCACCGAGGCAGCCTGGGGCCTCTGGCTTCCAAACATGGTGGGGAAGGGGGGGGGCTTTAAACAAACCTCAGTTTACCCCTCAGTAAAAGGCGAACCATACTTCTTGTACCACTAACTTAACCCGGGCTGTTGGGAGGAACCCTTCAATACCGTGAGTCACTTAATCTAATCCTCTCATTTCATAGATACCAGCTCGGAGGGGCCGCCTTGGACCGGCCCAAGGTCACCCAGATTTAAGGAGGAGAACGGAAACGAATCCGCCCCTCCACCCTGGGATCTGCCCCAGCGCAGATGGGAGAGATAGTTAGGGATCCGCCTATTTCACGACCTAGGGGCTGAGTTCACCTGGGTTTTCTATTGTCTGCCTGGCCCCCTCAAGGGCAGAGCGAAGTCTGCCCCCTCCCAAAGACCGCTGACCCAGGAAGGTCCCGGGGATCCTTCTTCCCTGGGAGTGTTTGGAATCCGTTCTGGACCAAGAGGGGCTCAGAAAGCTGGCCAGCCCCGGGAAAGACCTGGGGTGCCTGCCCCATCCCAGCCTCCATGGAGCCTCCCTCCCCCAACTTTTTTGTCATTCTTAATCTACAGGCATCCAATAATCCCTTTCTTTGTGCCTGGCTATGTACTGTACTGCTGGGATACAAAGGCCCTGCCCTCCAGGAGCTGCCATTCTAATGCTACATTCTCCCAGGAATGCACTTCACTAGTAGGAACGTTCTTGGGAGGTTGGTCACAGCTTCCTCCCCCCTCCAAAAAGCCCCCCCAACTTTTGAAAGGCTTAAGCCGGAGAGCACAGTGCCTGCAGACCCAGTGTTCCTGCTGACTGCCTGGTGAAGGGTCTGCTTTGTTTGGAAATGGAGAATTTTGCAGGAGGAGGCTGTGAGGAAAGCCGTGGAAAAACCTTGCTTCCCAAAGATGGAGGCTGGTTTTCAGGGGTCCTGCTCCACTCCCTTCCACTGTCACCAGGCACCCATCCGTCTGGGGAAATGCCACCCCCAGCTAGGGTGACGAGCTAACACCCCCAGCACCTGGCTCTGGGCCTTCCAGGGAATTGAAAGTCTCTCCCAGCCCTAACTGGCTTCCTTCTGTGTGCTAGAGGCCCTCCCAACTGTACATTCTGTGTTCACCATTCTGGGTCTACGTTGTCCAACTCTTTTAATGACAGTAGCAGGGAATAGATCACTGGGCTGGGAGTTAGGAAGACCTGAGTTCGAATGCTGCCTGAGACAAAACTGACTGGCTATTTGACCACTGGGCAAGTCACTTCATCCTTAGCTGGTTCATTTCCTCCCCTATAAAATGGGGTGGGGTGGGGTGTCATAATAGCATCTCCCTCCCAAACTGTAGTGACACTATGTTACTTTAAAGTTTGAAAAGCACTTTACACATGCCCCACACCATTTCAGAAGAGAG